AAATTTATATGTTTCAGTCTCTTAAAGCTTAATTCACAATCTTCAGGCTTCTTGTGTTTTTCTTTCTTCTCTGAGATTTTCGTTCATTATTCTGACACTTTTAAGTGACTACTGAAGGCATAATTGGAGTATCATGGGAAGCAGAAGGCTGTGTTATTAGTCAGTACATGACACCACATACACATTCATTTAATAGAAAATAAGCAGCTCAAGCAGGTAAGTAACAATTGAGACTATATTTTTGAGCCTGAATTATGCCTAGAAGGGAAAACTTACTTTTTCAAAACTTCTACTAAGACACGTTATGCTTGCACACTTTATCTTTGTGTATGCTTGTATTTGTATCATTGCTTTTACATATTTTAGCACTGATTTTCTGGAGATCACATCASTGACTGACAGTGGATGGTGCCAGTGCCCTTGTCCTGCCAGCCCTTSTGCAAGGGAACAAAGATGTGGAGATGGCAAAATGGTCTTGGTGACACAGATATTTTTGGGCAGTCACAGCTTCCACAGCACTGAGTCACTGCGGCAGAGCAACCTCTAAGGAGTGTCTTCCTTCCACATCAGCCAGAGGGAAGGCTCTGCCCCATCCTCCTGCTCTCCCAGCAGCCTGACAGAACTCCAGAAGGGACAGCAAGTTCATTCAGGAGTTATCCCCTACCGAGGCACTGATCTGCCAGGCTTACCCTTGCAGTGCTGCACTCCAGCTTTTAGCTTTTCAGGTATTTGGCATCCTGAATATCTGAAAATCCTGAAGGAAAATGTAAGCTGAATTAGCAGCTGAGCTGGGAAAGGGAGGAAAAGGGCACTAATGAAGTTCCTAGGGAGGATGAGAATAGTAAATGGAAGATAAAAAGGAAAGAAAATATTAAACAGGGCCTCTAGTTTGATTGTGCCCTTTTGCTGCTCCAGGGCCACCTTGGGAGCAGCCTGTTGTGCCATGGATGTCTCATTTAGGCATCCAAGCCTAAATCCAGCTCACCAAGACATCCAGTGGCATGACACCCTCCCAAGCTGTGACATCCAGTGGCACACTCCCAGCCTGGGACAGCTCACAGTCCAGCAGGCAGGACAGTCCCAGCTTCCAGCTCCTTTGCCCAACTTCCACCTTTGATCCCTGTACAAAGATGCCAGTGCTGGAATGTGTCCATGTGGAGGGATAAATGTACCTTCCCAGGTGCCTGTGTAGCAGCTCAGGACAGATGTGATTGCAACAAATCACTTGGATTTGTCCTGGCTTGTGAGTAGGTAGAGAACTCATTTCCTACAGACCCTCATGCCTGAATGTCCAAACTGACCACAAAACCTCTGAACCAGGCTACAAGGCCAGAGTCTGCTAGAAAAATGCTGAATCTATTGATTTATACCCAAAGGACAGAAGAAAACCATCTCCTGCTGAATCGGGCCTCTCTATTGTTTTAAGGAACAATCAGATCATTTTGAAGAAACCGGCTTTTAACAAAGTGGTGCTTGATTTCAGTTCATGGAAAGCAAAGACCAGTTGCCAGGTTTTCAGATAGTAAAACATACTTTGGTTTATTTTTAAGGAAAAAGGAACTTCAAACCTCAGTTTTAATGCCTGCAAATGCCCTGTAATTATCCTTTTTTATCTGCGTATTATTCCAGTTCTATAAACAAGCTTAAAATAGTAAATTTTAATACCAAGATTAGGGCAAAAGAGCATCAAAGGCAATATTTTCAGATGTACTGAATTACTTAGAGAGCAGAACTTGAGTATCTTGTAATATTTATGCATTTAAACCTGGGAATCACATTCAGGGGGGCATCTCAGGATACTGGAAAGCACTTGATTTTCTTTCAGTGTCAAGCAAACTGAAGGACACACTTAATGCTCTTCTGAGTGTTGATGGTCTTCAGAATAAAGGCCAAATGAAACGTCAGTGCCTTGAAACTGCCTGTGGATCTGTGTCAGCAGTTACAAAGACAAACACTGTGAGCTCAGTGAAACTTTTGTGCTTAATTCAAAAGAGCCAAGTCTTGCTACAATTGAGACCTTTGACATAGGAAGGTGTGACAGAGCCCCATCTTCAGCTTGGATCCTGCTTTGCCAGTGCAAGACCCCACAGAAAGAGGAGTCTGGGCATGCAGTGCTGAGGGACCACATCCACAGAGCCTCTCTTGGCTCTTACTTGGGTCAGATCTTCACAGAAATCACTGGTAATTGCCTCTGAGCGAGGACCCAGGAAAAAGGGAATGTCAAATCTTTCCATTGCTTAACTATGCTTTGTCAAGAACATGATCCTCCTTAGGTTTAGATTTCTCTACCCAGCTGTGATTATATGATCTGAGTATTATGCAGTCAGAAAAAGAGTTTTCTTCCTTTGTAAACTACCTAAAAGGTTGCTTTATGGAAGCAGAATGCCCATATAGAGAATTTAGGTCTTCAGACTCTCCTGGTTTATGCTTTGCAGATTCCTGAAAAGTAATCGGGTTGCCTCTTCCTCTTTCTTCCTCCCCAGGAGTGCACACACCCCAGATCAAGAGCTTCAGTTTTGGGAAAATGGGTAATTTTGCTGTCAGAACTATTCATATAGAAATGTCATTTCAGTATTTGGTGAAACAATTCCATTTCCTGATATACATTTCCACCTCCTTTCAGGTAGGAATCTACTGATTTTTATTCCAGTCTACTGCAGAAAGGCACAGCAAGCTCCAAAGGCCCATCCAGTATTGGAAAGCTCTGATCTCTCAAATTTATCAGCAACCATTTGCAGTCAGAGCCAGGGCTATTACAGGGCTATTGATGGGAGATGCAGGATCTCCTCTGCAGCACTGAAGTTCTGTTTTTTGTAACCAAAATCCATGTTAGGCCCTTCAGGCAAAGTATCCCACTGGAACTCAGGCCCAGTCATTTGCTCATTTGCCATTACTCCTTCCTCACTTGCCTTTTTCAAAGCTGGAGAGATGATGCATGGAGTCTCTAGAGCAGTAAAAGCCTAGTGGAGCTTAGGGAAGTTAGAATATAGGTGTAGTTCCTACTCACAGGCAGCTGCTACTCAACCTTCTAGGGAATGCTCCTCCACAGGGGTTGGTTTTATGAAAGGAAGTTAACTTTTCACTCAACAAGAAACTTTGCCATAGTCTTTAAATCCAAGCTTTGCATTAAAAAAAAAGTATTTCTTAAGATTGTGGGCTACAGCTGTTTCACCATCCTCTTAAAAAGTGTGAATGAAGAGATTTAAAATATTTCTCCTGAGTGTTTTGACTGTAACTTCACAAATACTGTAATTTACCAGTAGCACACATCAGGAAAACATGTAGCTCATCCAAAGCCTTCCAGACAGCCATTGCTATCAATAACTAGGCAGGAGTGCTCTGATGAGTGGGAGCAAAACTTACAGCTTTTAAGCTATAGAGACTTTGCAGCAGTGGGTAATTGTCATTATTACCCCAATGTGAGGAAACAGGGATGAAGTGATTCACCCAAAGAGCACAGTGAGTCAATAGGGGAGCTGGGAATAGAGTGCAGAATTCCCTGCATTATCCATTGGAGACCTCAGATAATATMATTTTATAAATGCTCTTTGTGAAGACTTCAGTGCTATAATTATCGTCCCAGGACTCTCATGGAAACAAGATATTTATAACTCCATTAAGCCTTTCCTGGTAATTTTATGATCAAAGTGAAAAACCCAAATAAAGCTGTGCCAATCAGTCGCATGTCCAATGTCATCCAGAATGGCCACATGATGAAAGCCTCTCCTTGGCTGTTGCAATTAAGTGCTTGCTATCTTTTGAATGCCTTTCCTGTGTCTAATTCCCCTTCCACCACATACCAGTGGAGAGGGAATGTTTTTTGCCGTGTGATGAGCCACACATTTAGAATGTACCAAATAACTGGGAAAGATGCTTGTTGCCAACAAAGCCTACTGGTTTGGGCTATAAATGCTTCCTAAAATCCTTTCATGTGTGCCAGGTTCACCTAAAATGAGCAAAACCACCTCAGTATTTCCACTAACCTTTTTATGCCCTTAAAATTACAATGTAGATGCCAAGACTAACTGTAAACAGCAGGTTAGGGACTGAGGCTTTTGGACCCTGGTTCAGCAAAGCACTTAAGCCTGTGCTTAAATCAAAATCCATTCTTATTCCCCAGATCCATTTTAAGTGTTTGTTTAAGGCAAAACACATGCTTAAGTCGAGTTTTGCTTGGCACAGTGCTTAAGCCTGGCACAGAGCAAGTGCCTTAGAATTAATTTCTTTTCAAGGGGAAGTCATTATTTTTAGCCCACCTCTCAATGGCCACAGCCCTATGTTTTAGTCCCTAGACAGTTATTTTGAGGAGGCGTACGTGCCAAGCCTAAACTTCAGGGTTCTGTGACAATCAGTGGCACAGAAAAGAGAAAGAGACCACTTGAAATACTYGAGAGGGGCCTTTGGAGAGGCTCATTAGAGGGAAGACATGAAAGATGTTGTGATTATTCTGGGAGGTGGYTGCTGATACTGTGGGTGATCTTTTYACTGCACTSACTGGAGAAGATTCACTTGCAGGAGGTCAACAATTTTAAYCCAAAATGTTTTCATGAGTTTTATATTTCCTCAGGAAATTCATGATTTCAGGGAAAATGTTTATATTCTTCAAAAGTATCAAAAAAGATTTGGCTGSATTGTGTTCATTTCCTTGTTTGTTTGGGTTTTTTTTTACTTGAAATCCTTCTTTGATACACAATTATTAGAAGAAAATTGATTTAACAGAGGTTTATTTCTCATTCCCTGTAACTCTAGATTTCCTGTCTCATTAGGACAACTCCTACCATTGTTTCACTGACTTAGATGCTGGAATTATTTATCAGGTAGATCTGGCCTTTGCTATATCTGGAGGAGGAACAATTACATTTTCTAACATGTTTTTTTGAGGGATATTCCACTACTTTCCCTTTAACATCCAGCTTTCATACAGAAGACAGAAATAAAAAAGGTAGCTTGAAATACATTTTATTTCTCCGTGGGCTTAAAAATCTGCTTCTTACAGTCTTGTGGTTATGGCACAGATCAAACCTTACTCTCACTCCTGCTACTCATATGTAGGACAGCTTTCTAACAGCAGGGAGAGTCAGGTAAGAGGACAGATCCCCCATGGAAATTTGGCACTGCTGTATTTAAAAGCAGATTGGACAAGCACTTGAAGAGGAATAATTTAGATACTCTTAATCCACTCCTGYACAGGCTATCACGATGACCTTTTAAGGCCCATTTAACCCTGTCCCATGGGAAAGTCTTTCACTCCCCCAGAAGCTTCTGGGATATTTCCAGGTGGRAGACCCCATTTAGCTCTATCACTTGACTACCACATTGCTTTACTAATCCCCCTCCCTTGTTTTTTTCCACCTAGRAAAGTACAGCAAGTGCCTGGAGCTGTCATCCACCACAGGGCAGTGATAGAATCCCACACTCAGGCCCACATTTCTTCACCTGCTTGTTTGGTATCTCTCTGCCATGAACAGGTATTTCTTTCCTGTATGCCAAAAGCCTGCACTTCCAATGAAAATATGTCCTGCCTTTCAGGACAAATATTTTCATGGCTGATTCTCAACTGATCAGGAGTTGATAAATTCAGTAGCCCCACAGAGGTGAAGCTGCAGACACATCCACAAACGTGTAAAATGTCTGTGCACTRATGGTTCCATTGGCTGGCTCAGACAGAAACACTCAGCACTCAGATAAACAGCACCAGTGGCCTCATCCTGCTCTTTTTTTCTGGCAGATCAGAGGTCTGTAAGTGCAAAATATTTATAAAAATCATCATACAACCATAGAATAGATTTTTGTTGAAAGGCACCTTAAAGATCACCCAGTTCCAATCCTCCAATCCAGRTTGCCGTGGCAGGGACACCTTCCACTAGATCAGGATGCTCAAAGGCTCATCCAGCCTGGCCTTACAAATATTATGGTCATTTCCAAATTTTAAAATTAAAATATACACTTTGAGGTAATATCATGCATGAAATCTAAAGGAATGGCTTTCACTTATGGAAGAGACACTGAAACAGCAGTTAAGATTGCAACTCTTACACAGTTAACCGTTATGAGCTAAATTAAAAGTTGGATGAATCACTTTCCAGCCATWTAAATCACTGAAGTTGTTCTATCCATCACGAAGGTAAGCCAACCATGTAGTGAATTATAAAATGTGTTATTTTCCTATGCATGTTATTCCCATAGTTTGTACTGTTGTTGAAAGTCTATTTGTGTGAGGGTTTTTTTTTGCAAATACTTTTAAAATGATGAATAATCTTTACTTTTGAGACTAAAAATACATGCTAGCTATTAYTGTATATGAAATCTGACAGAAGTTAAAGTGTTGGTATCTGAAYTTACTTGACAGCTTCTTCAAACAGCTTTTACTAGGTATTCGTTATAGGATTAAATATTCTTAGATTAGTGCAATTTGTTCTAAGTTATGTGGCAGGGAAAGCAAAAGTGTTCTAGATATTTGACAACCAGTCTCATGAGCAGCAACAGCTTTCCTTGTGATCACTTTTTATTGGAAGCCAAACATCACAGTCAAACTCCCATTACAAATTCATGCAAGGACCAATTCTGAATCCTGTGGAGCAAAATAAAGYTCAGCAGCAATTTTAGGTGCTTCAGTGGAACAAGATTCCAAACGCTTGCAATTTTCCTGTTACAAATGCATTTTATTTGCAAGAAGTTGGCACTGGTTGTAGGCAGAGCAGGCCAGACCTTCACCTGCCCACACAGGCAGGGACACCCAAGTCACCATAGTTTATCAGGCTGTGGAGCTGATCCAGAGSTCTCTGCTCAGACTGCCCTGGATTTTGTGCACACCAGCACCAGGGAGCTGTACRTTGTTATTTATGTGATTTCTCAGCATGAGGCACCACTTTGGCCTTGGTTTGAAGTGCCCTGCAGGAAGCAGTGACCTGGCCCAAGGGAGCTGCTTTTCCACTGGTTCTGGCACAGCTTCCACATAGGACTTTCAGACACTGCAGCTTTTTGTCCTGAATATTTGGTTGGTGAGTTTAGTATATGAGATTTGCAAAGTCTGTGGATAACTGACCCACAAATTGTGAATGCAGCAGGAGAGCTTGGATTGAAGCACTGGGGGTTGGGCAACCAGGATGGGAGCACAGGTACAACTGCACTGGTTTGGCACAGCACAATGTACAGCATTGAAAGATGAAATCAAGAACTCTTCAGGCAGAGAACCTGGGATTGGGAAGCAGATCAGTGGTCCATCCATGCAGCGTGGGCTGGCAAAGAAAGGTCAGTGCTGCACAACTTTTATTCCCGGCATTTRTACCGGACCCGGAATGGTTCCATGGGCTGCTGCGTCCCCACCAAATGTAAAGGGCTCTGAAGGAAGAGRAAAATCAGTAGAAACACTTCAGTAAATGGAATTACCATGGTGCTCTAACATTAAGATATAAACATTCTTGCATCTTCAGTCTTAGAGAACCAAGACCAAATACCAAGAGYATTTCCTGGCTTTGCCAAAGCCACTGAGTAGGGTCTTCATGGTTAATTATTATTCCAGTCACTCTGTCAGGATGACACATGAGCTCTTAAGAAAYTCTCACAGTTTTGAATACTTTCAAAGTATTCAAATAATGAAGTGGAGGCTGTGCCAATCTCCCTTAAAGGCAAAACYTTTCTGTGTCACAGTTGCTTATTCAGTTTTACCCTAATAATTTACCTCCCACCCTGAATATGGAGTGGAAGAGCACTACGAATGCTGCATCTGATTCCATGTCTTTACAGTATTAATGATCCTGTTCCATATTTACTATTTTTGTGAGCAACAAGTATCAAATCTCTCATAATGTTTAGGCAATGATGAAACAAAATATTCTTGTAAGCACTTTTTTGTATAGGCAGTGCAGCCCCACTAACTGGAATTGCTGGAATTACTCTGGATTTTCTGAGTTAAAACAAAGATTGAGTAATTCATTACATGTTTTATAATAGTCCTCTCAAAATTTAAGTAACCACAGTTGAGCATGGCTGTTCAGCTGAGCCTGATGAATGAAGGGTAGAAAGATAGGGAGTGCTGCACAAATGCATGGATCTCTTACCTCCTTTGGTACTGCGTCCAACAGCACAAATTCATACTTGTACAGGAACAGCACAACRAACAGCTGGATCTCCATGATGGCAAACCATCTGCAAGAAAAGGGGGGAAAGCATTGGCCATCCAGCCTGACCACACGTGTGTTACCATCAGGTAAGAAACAGGGTGTGTTTGACACATTTTACRCTCTGTGCTTTAGTTCTGCCTGAAAGTTTATCTTCCATAGGAAAACTGCTGTAGTTCAGCTTTGTTACTTGGCAAAGAACACAAATGTGGTGGCTGYCCCTTCTGTCTGGTGACACGTTGGACTGACAGAATCCCTCCGACACCTGTTTTAAACCAGCCCCTTATCATTATGGATTTTTCCACTGTATAAACATTTATGTTCTCYTAACACTTGCTGACTTGAAATAACTTCCTAGGAGTGAGAAGGCAGTCAAACACAGAAAAGGCCATATGACTAATCGTGCTATATAAAGTTATATAATGCAGCTGGGAGCCTGGTGACATCAGAGAGCAGTGACAGTGGGAGTTATTATTTAATGCGTCAGCATTAGGATGCAGTAGGAGACCCAAGGGCATGATTTCTTTTTTCTGTAACACTCTGACAAAGGTCTTGCTTAGGCCAGGGAAGATTTTGGATAATTGCAGGTTAACTCCTCCAGGTTATTGGTTTTTAATGCTGATGTGTACAAGTTTTCTGCTTTCACCACTATGCACCTATGCCAGGTCATGGGATTACTCACGTGCAGAGTTTACTCATAAGTCTTAAATACCCAATTAAAATAGTAATASTACCTTACTCTTCTACAGAGAGATACTGGAAAATCTGGATAAAACAGCTATGGGGGAATTTACAAAGGAGGAGGCTACTTGACTGCATGTGGAGTTGSCCTGGCAGGTGTGAAGGGAAGCTAGAAATCCTCACTGACCCAAGATAACTCCTGCAGAGCCACCAGGAACTCTGCTCATGGAACTGCCCTGGGCTCTGGAGTGGGAAGATCCTTGTTTGTTTTAGCACAGCTTCAGACCCAAATTATCCCTGTGATTTCACACTGGAATTGCCTTAAGCTTTTGGTGGCCTTGGCTCAGGGGAATGCAGTGCAGAGATATTTTCATATTTTCATTGGCCCAGCTGGGATGCAGGTGGGATGCAGCCCAAGCTCCAAGCCTGCAGCACCGTGCAAGGGTGGGATCCTTTCAGTCCCAGCCCTGTTTGCACAGCAGGGCCTGGACCCCAATGCATGAGGGGACAACAGAGCTGTGCAAAACAAGCACGGTCACACAGGCAGTAACCAGCTGGTTAGACCAAAGTAGTCGAACTGACACAAAATTTTTCTTTTAGGTAAAAAATATGGCACAGAAATGCCTTTTTGGAAGCTCTTCCCACATCAGTTTGCTAGAATATTTCACAAGTAAGTTATTTGCTAGCTTTCAGTTTGATTAAATTAGCTTTTAACTTTATGCTGAACTTTTGCAGTGGAGAAATTAAATGTTTCATACATTTCATTTATAAACCTCAATACTGAATTGAATAACAACTTGAAATATCATTGTTTCATTCAGTCGTATGAAGAAAATCTACAACCTGGACTCTAGATACAACCCTTGATTTAATTTTCTTCTTTTTCAAGACCATCACATTATTCTTTTACAATTATTGCTGAAAAACCTGAAGGTGTGTTTTACAATGTGGATTGCCAAAGGGTCTGAAAGGGCTTTTTGCCTCTCAGCAACAAAAAGAGTCTCCATCTGTTGTCTATGTAGAAATGTTATACTTTTCTTTCTGAACAAAAACTTATTTTAAAGATTTTATCAGAGTCCCAAGCACAGCTTGAACAAAGAAATAGGTCAGGATATATAAACAAGCAGCCTTCAGAAACATTGTTTTGCAGCTTTCCCTGTACCTGCAGATGCCTCTTGTGAATTTTGCTGTTGCCCTTGCTGGGAATGAGGCTGTGCTCATATTTAGCTCAGGAATGTGGTACAAGCCACCRAGGTACAGCAGTGAGTGAGCACTTCCCTCTGACAAACCTAAATGCTGAATRCAGTTTTACTCCTTTTGCTCATGTCTTTAATGCCTTCATGAAGTTTATCTGGCTCTCATGTCTAGCCTGCCATAGGGTGTAGATTCCAGAATGCATATCCTCTATAACACCCTCCAGATTCCTTGCTCCACATGGAACTTGAAATAAAATTACTGGTCTTCAGGATTCTTGGTCACTTTTGTCTCAGAGAGACCAGGTTTTGAAGGCAGAGGGTTGAGCATAGAGATGTTTGAACACAGAAACAAGGAGCAGCTGGCTCCCTGGGACTTGTTCCAGGAAGAGGGACAGCAGAGAAAACAGCAGAAGGAATGCAGGAAGTAYCAAGGCTGGCATTGCTGGAGGAGTGAAGTGATCTGCAGTTTAAGCCGTTATACAACTTTGTGGGCCTTCATGCAAACACAAGATTCAGGGAAGAACCAATTAAGACATTTTAAGATCAGCAGAGATGTYAATGGCATAGTAGAGGTCAGAAAGCGTCTCAGACCATAGAAATGTTGTGTAGGTTTGTTTAGAACTGGTTTAAGACAACCTAAAGGCCTGTATCTGTAAACTGATGTATTTGGAAGTGAAGCAATTCTCCCTTGATGAAAAGACACCTCAGCAGAGGCAGAGCCAGGCTGACTTTCCTCCCTGGATGGGGGGCAATATCCCTTGACACATGGTCTCAGATTCTGCTTTTACATTGTGACTTAACCTGTCTTTTCCAGGAATGAAACCACTTTCACATCAGTTTAAACAAGGTGCAGATGATGCCAAACTAGGAGACTGAGCAAAGAGCAAAGAGSAAAGCAAACCCTTTATCTYCAAGTGTAAGAGAAGCCCAGTTCAAGAGAATTGTTCTCTGCAGGGTTTGGGAAAAAATAAACCCCAGCTGTTTCACTGACCTTCCTGGACACTGATGCTTCCCTCCTCCGAATGCCACAAAGCTGTCCAAGAAAGCATTCTTCTCTAAATTTGCCTCTTTCCAACGATCCTGTGGGAAGAAACTTTTTTTTTCCAAATCAGTCTTATATAAATAAAGCTTAACTTTATTTCTCCAGGCTAAAAATGACCTTGGACAGCTAATCCTCAATACAAAGTTGCACTAATGCAATTTTTTTTTGCATTCAACCTGTTAGTATTAGAGGACTCAAAAGTAGACACTGACTCAGGGAAAGAAATCATTCCCATTTGAAACACATTTAGATGCCTCAAAATGCTGGAGAGGTTTTCAAAATCACCCCTAAAGAAGTTTTCCTGTATCTTCCCMTTTCCTAAATGCTGCATCTTGAACTACAAATGTCCATAAAAATGCAATCATCTCTTTTAAAACTTATATACAAATGCAAAACAAATGCTCAGCCGGTACTGAGGGAAGCCTCAGCCACAAAATTGTGTCATGACACACAAATAGCTCACACACATCTTGCACAAAAAAATGTTACTAAGACACTGCACAGACAAAYGCAAGGTCTATGAGCTTTAACTGGTGTAAGCCAGTGTGTGAGAAAATGAACAATTCTCCACAAAAAAACAGCTTGTCTGTACCCAAAGGGATCCCTGCTCCATCCTGAGTTGCTTTGAGAGGAAAGGAACAACACAAGGAACAAGGCAATATGGGCTGAAATTTTGGTGGGTGACACAGAGAGAAAGAAATCTCATGACTGCTGGGTGACAAACTGTACCAGCCTCCACAAACTCAGTGCTACTCTGCCAAGTAACACCCTGTCAAGCTTCTGGTGGTGAACTCTGATGAAGCTGTCCMAGAGAAGATATAATCTTGCATGGATCTATTTTAGAGGGGTTTTTTTGGGTTTTTTTTCAGCCAGGGCTGTTTAGAACTTTCTGAGGAGGAAACCTGTCAGTACCAAAACCCAATACAGCAAGAAAAAAAATTTTCAGTGGTGATGAGGCAAGGTCATACATTCGGAATGACAATGTCCAAAGAGTACTCACCTATTCTTCTTGGAAAAAAGGGCAAGTTTCTAAAAACAATCTAACTTGCTTTTTAGAGACAAAGTTACTAAAAAAATAAGCTGCTGCGTTAGAGTTTCAGCTTCAGATTTCAAAGATGCAGGAATTGTTATAAGGGATTTCAAATTATGAAGAGTTTGCTAGAAGGGAAGTTTTGTTTAAATTACTCCTTGATGTATTTCTATAAAAAAGACAAACTGTTCTATATTGGATGGTGCTAAAAAGAGCAGTTACAAGCCTTCCCACACAGCCACCTGCAGTGGAATAATAATYAAGAAACTAGATTAACTACTAAATTAGCAGAGATAATGCCTACCAAAAATCATCTGACAGGGAGAGGAGAGTACTTGGAATTATGAATTGGTTAGGTTGGAAAAGACCTATAAGATCATCAAGTCCARCCATTACCCCAGCACTGCCAATCCACTGCTAAACCACATCCCCAAGTGCCACATCTTCTAACTCCYGCTGGGGATGGTGACTCCACCACTTCCCTGGGCAAACTGCTTCAGGGCTTGGCAACCCTTTCCCTGAAGAAAGTTTCCCTAATATCCAATCTAAACCTCCCATGGTGCAGCCTGAGGCAATTTCCACTTGTCCTATCAGTTGTTATTTGGGAGAAAAGACCAATCCCCACCTCACTACAATCTCCTTTCAGCGAGTTGTAGAGAGTGATAAGATCAAGATCAAAGTGATATAAAGTAGTACTATAGTCCCTGGAACGTGCCACTGAATTTAAAAGTCTTGTTTATTCCTACAGGTTCCTCCTTTCTGTGCTCATCTTCTCTGTATCCAAGGCCATTCTCCAGCCAACTTTAAGCAAGTTTGTCCATGTACTTTTATTGTGAAATAAGAGGGAAAAAAACCCAGCAAAATACCCACAGTAAGAGTGACAACTTACAGGTTTAAACATTTCTGGGTCAGGAAAATATTTTGGATTTCGATGCACCCARTACGGCGACAACATCAGCATGTCACCTGCAGGGATGGTGAAATTCTGAAAAGGAGWAAAATCTCTAAGAAAAGAGCTAAACAGGTTAAACTCACAAAACAGTCYCTCCTTGATACTTCTCTTCCATCAGCAGAAGTTCCTAAGAGAACACAAGTGAAGGCAATAAAGCCATGGTGGCCACATTACMTGTTTGAAATTTCTTCTTGCTGTTGCTATTTTTTCCCATAAAACATAAACAGTGGGGAAGGTGGAAAGATTATTTGTGTTCTAATTTGGGCTTTTTAGGTATCAAAATATCATGAACATTATTTCTGTCTTTCCTGCTTCTTGATTTACCATGAGAGCTAAATAATTTCGTTAAACACTTCCTTCAATGCAAAGAAATTCAAAGAAAGCTTTCTATGACATTAGTAATTTCGTCAGTATTCTTAAATAGTCATGAGCACTGATTCCTTAAGAGAGTGGGTTTTTTCCCAAACATTTCTTTGCCAGATTCTTGAATGCTGACACCTCCCTTCTGAATGGTAGTGAGGAGGACCAAAAGAAGTCTTATCAGTTACTAAAATGTGGTCCCTTGTACTATATTTGTTGTGTCTGATTATTATTTTACATACCATYGGTATCTCCAGTTCAATTCCATTAAATCTAAAATCAATTCAAAGTTGATGGTAAGACTATGAACCAGAGAGTCCAAACCACTTGTAAATTAATGTTGATTAATAAATCTATTAAAAGGAATATGTACATGAGGATGGGAAATACCTCTGCCACTGTAATTTTATCCAGATCTATTGGGAGGACCCTTTCCAGACAAATCACATAGCATCCTTTAGGAAAACCCCTCCTTACAACCAAACCTCACCTTAATTCTAATTGGATTTATGACTTTCTTGGTGATTGCACCCGGAGACCTCAGCCGTATGGCTTCCAAAGTGCACCATTTAATAAAAGGGATCTTCTTCAGGTCCTCCTCAGACACTTCCAGTTGATCTTTACCTGTTGTGGCATGAGAAAGAAGACTCCATGTAAAAATTTTATTTCATACTTCTTTTGATACAGGCTGGCATGTCTTGCTTTAGAAATGTTGGTGAAATAACTTCAAGGCATTGTTTACACCCAAAAATTTTCTTTATATTTCAAAATAAATAAATGGACCCAAATCAATAAAAATTAAGAAAAGCCACTGAAGATAACTCAGTAACTCTAAGATAGGTGTAGATATGGTGTTGGACAGAAGAGGCCAAACAGAGTCGTATTGGAAGTTAAAAGTCTTCGGAGTTTTTCAGTGCTTTCATAGGACACTGCATGGAAATCTCAAGGGCTGTAGGCACCAAGGCAAAAAGCCATGGCTGAGCTTTTGGGCTCTGTTAACATTAGCAAATCAAGCAGGGCCAGGAGAAAATGTTAAGCTCTGCTTCATGGTTTTCTTTATTGCTTAATTACTGACATGTTTCTTGACACTGTTTTGACCCCTGTCCACAAAGAGTCTTCCATGAAAGTTTAACTATTGTCCAGGGGACTGCACCTGGGAATGACTGCTCCCAATAGGTGACTGCTTTTTGAGGGAAAGAGATTAGTCATGGGGGATGAACCATGCTGAAAAAATTTGCTTCTGATGACAGAAAAGAGAACAGTTCCTGGCCTGTTTTTTCCATGAATAGCTGTAACTGGTGAACACCACACAATGAAAAGCACCCAAACTGAAAGACCTCATCTGACCCTACCGTAGGTGCTTGGAGAAAGCACAAAACTGGATAGYACAGATCTAAGTTTAAATGGTAAGAATGAAGAAACAAACACATACTGTGCTTTTCCTACCTTCTCTTTGCTAACATCAAAGGTGGTTTTGCTTAAAAATACATCTTGAACATATCCTGAGTAAAGACCTGAGAGTTAGACTCTGTTATCAGTAATACCCTTAGCAGGAATACTCATTGTTCCAGCCACTGACCAAGTGTGCCCTGTGTTGGGCCAACATGGGATAAATCATTCTCAGCTTCCAGAACAGCATGATTGGATTTCTTACCTGCTTTTCCAAAAACAGAAGCCAGGTCTTCCATGACTTTCTTGTAAATGGCAGGATTAGAGAGTATGAAAGCAAGGGTCCAAAATGCAACCTAAACAGAGATGGAAATCCTTGAATTTAGGGATGTGGAACAGAATGACACTATGTTTTTAGCAAATCACAGTGGAAGGTGAAAACATTTGCACTTTTTTTGTGTGTTGTAGTTGGGATGCACAGGGAGCTGTGCTTCCTGGGTAAATCCATATCCAAGGGCTCATCTTGTGGGAGATTATGTCTAGTCATCTGCTGTGTACTTATCTTTAATGAACATTATATAGCTTTGGCCTTGAGCTTTGAAACACAGAATCCTTTATTTTCAAATARCTAGGTGTTAAATGAACTACTAAATCATTGTGATGATTAGTTTTAGCTGGGGGAATAAAAAAAAAATTCATACTAGTATTAGCAGAAATGAGGTTAAATAATTTGCAGGGCATTGTCATAGTGAGCAACAGTAAAATGGGCAGGAAAAGTTTTAATTAACAGCAAAACAAGGAGTAGTATATCCCCTTTAGAAATAATTTACTAACTGATTACGCAATGAAGTTGAAAATCAAGAAATTTAGGAAAGGAAAAAATCCTCTTAAGTAGGATGAAACCAGAAGGACTGGCAGCAGTGCCAGGAGTCTCTCTCCTCTTGCTGAGCTAGCGGGAGGTGCAGCCTGCACACAGATCTGGTCGTGGGCCATCTGTGCTGGTGAGGGATGAAACTCTGTTATTTCCCAAATAGACTGACACGGATGTAGCCCTCCTTCTGTAAAACAAATCTGTTAGCTTAGCTTTCCTATACAGCACTTGGACACTGTGGCTTCACTCCATGGGCTAAGAAGGGATAACTGAATTGTTTCAGATAAAAGGGTTTAAAGTGCTTGTAAAAAAATGCCCTTGGAAGGTGAAAGGCCTTTTCTTTCGTCATTCCATTCCCCAGAACAGTGGTTGTGACTATTCTGAGAAACAGCAAAATATCTGTGTGTCTATTTACAGCTGAATATTACAGAAGTAAGCGTTGTGGAAGGAATGTCAGTTATCCTGATAACAGACAGTAGGCTATGCCTCCCACTTAYGCCAACACGTGAATCCACAGAAACCTTACTGAAATGGATGAATTTTCCTTAGGCTAAACTGCAGTAATATCCAATCTCCAAAAAAACATAGATATATCCGTTAGGGGGACATATAAAAATAACTCACTATCATGTTTTTCTAAATCACATCTGTAAAGGACATAACTGTGCTGGAAAGAGCTTAGTAGTCATGGTAAATAAAGRATGTTTTTGCTGCTATGGATTTTTCATCTGAGAAATTCCTATAAATGTCTTTGGTTAGCCTGAGCTGTGTTAGATATATTGGGCCTGTTAGCATACTTATATCAGTGTCATTAATCCAGCAAATCCCTTTCTAACACAGACAAAACTTAACAGCTCTAGAATCAAACAATTGCCTTTCTTCCACTGGCGTTTATACAGCAGATCCCCCAAAATCAAAGGGACAAATTCACTGRAGGATTTACACACAGATGAAGTTACTCTATATTATGCTTCTGATATTCTTTACAATTGGTAGACCAGGCAATCTGAAATAGTCTTTACTATAATACAACCACGGTGCTTCAAAACAGAGATAAATGCTCTTCACAGCTTAAGACTGTGATCTTAATAGCTGTGAGGCTTATGTTCCTGAAATGTTATGATAGGGAACCACATAATTTAGGAAAAAATACAAGAAGAGCTTTTCTTGTCATTGCTGCTGTGACATTGCAGCCTGGGTATATTTGTAGTGATGCATGTGGGMGTGATAATCCCTTCTTTGGAATCCATGCAGTGTGTGTGTGACCTCTGCTTGAAAGCYTTTCCTTCCCAAATACAGGCTTTGGAACAGGAGAGAGAGAAGGTGTTTCTGTAGCTGATGTACTTACAGGCACAGCATTTGCTTGGGCAGCCCAGAGCATCAGGAGACCATAATTGGGAGCTAGATGTTTTCCTTGCAAGTTATCCAGGAGATGTTGTAGAAGTGTCTGTTAAAAATGAAAGATAATGATCTGTATTTCCAGAAATATATTAAAATGTAGTTTGGAGCAGGGCTCACTAGAATTTAAGGACTAGTTTCTAAAAGAAAAGTAATGTTAGCTATGGTTCTTTTGGAAGGCACAATGTAGAAATGACAGCTATTAAGAGAAATTGAGATTCCCTCACAAAGGTAGAGGGCCAGGGGAACTCAGTGCACCACATGAATTCCTCCTGCAATACTTTCACTGCTGTCCATTTCCTTTAAGTTTTAGTGGGTTGGGTTCCCCCACTGTTGCTTATATGTTGAAGAAAGCAAAAAAAAGAAAAACTCTATTCTAATTTCTGTTCTACTCCTCTTCTTAAAAGACCCTGAAAATGGGAATGAGCCAGTTGAATGAATGGAAATGACAAAAATGTTCTCTTTGTTCATGCCAAAAAGGTGCTTGTTATTAAGGGATGGCCTGACATATCAGCAAACTCCCCAGTTTCAGGCACTTTGTGCCAGTTGGTGACCAAAGCAGCGACTTCAATGGGTTGATAGTCTTTGAAATTATAGCAGCTTTGTAATGTTCTAGGATTGGCTTTTGTTTATAGTATTTCCTTAAATGCAGGGCAGCCATGCAGTTGAGGCAAAGCTTCTTGTCTGCTTTTCAGAGGGAAAAATAAAAAAATAAAAAATAAAAAAATGGTTGATTTTTTTTCCCAACTTCCCACCCAATCTAAGACACTGCGTTCATGCTTCCTACTTCCTGCACCTTCTTACCTCCCACGAGCTCCTCTCCAGCCTTCTCTTTCTTTTTGTTAATCTGGTTTATTTTATTAAAGAAGTTATGGTATGTAAAGCTTTTAAAGTCTAAATAAAACCTGTTTTGTTTAATGATTTGTTCTACAACCATTTGGTAGATCAAAATTCCCAGGCCAGTCTGCCATCACATTTGTCAGCCCTATCCACAGAATTCCTGCCAGAGCTAAGGAGAATAACCAGGGGAACAACTTATCTCAGCTTTGACACAATCGATATTTAGGGTACTTGGCTCCCAATCCAGTAATCTGCTATTTTCTACCAGTCTGGCTGTTGAAGGATCTGCTCACTCTGCACCAGGGTTTATAAATAGTACATGTGAGGTTTTGAAGTTTCACAGCACGGTGCCCTCAGAGAAACAACTGAAGGGTCTTTCTCTCACCTCTTTCAACTGCTCACTGCAGTGTGATACWGGAGGCTGGGGATGGGTCATGGCTCTGAACCCTTGCCTTAAAATTCCCCAGGGGAAGGTGTTAATTCTYAGAATTGCTTGAAATAAACTAAATGGAGGAACAGGAGTCAAAGTTATGGGTCTATCCTACTGCAGGTGACAGCAATACTGGAACATTTTGSTATCACTGTAAAAGCTGACATGTTTGACTTATTTCTTCCAGCACTGAAATAATTCCTGCCCTCCATCACTTCAGTCAGAATATACACCAAAGTCATCTTATTTCCTACCCTCGGATGTTTACCTTGGATGCAGTCTCTGAAGGRTTGGTTCTTTCAGCATCCAACACTACTTTCTCAAATAATTTTAGAAGCCATTTTTTGGATTTAGACCAGTTCCTGTAAAAAAAGCAACAAACAAGAAGCACTTAACTGAGGCAGCACAAACCAACATTTCCTTTTCCATGAGAAGGGCTCCTTGAGTTGTTTTCCAAAAGCCCCTGGGTTGCAGTCAGCTGATGAACAGCCAAGTGTCAGCCTGACTAACAGCAGTGATGATTGGCATGAGGAGCAGCACGTCCAAGGCCTTCACCTTGGCCAGACCTCCTCTTGAAGCCTGGGACTGCAATATTCCTAGATTTTCATACCTTTTTGTTACAGGTTTTCTTTGTGGATTTTGACACACTGCTTAGGCCAATCCTTTCAAGAATGATCCTCTTGAAGAAAATCAAGRCCATGTTTTTAGAGCATCCTCATTTTTTTCTGAAAGTGCTTTGAGGTGCTTAAGGTGCTATGATGGCCATGAGAGCACTGACAGGGTTTGGAAGCTCTTCCTCAGGGTTTGGGTGCCTCTACCCAGSGTCAACTCTGTGACAGTGCAGCCACATAACCTGGGATTGGCTATGGGAAAACATCTGAGGTGTGGAAAAGAGCAGAGAGATACCCTCATTGGAGACCCCCTGAGCTTGGGACTCACATTTAGGCTCAGGCTGTTCCCCTTTACCCCATTCTGCTGCTCTCTGATAGGTCCAAGCTGGGCCCTGCTCACCTAAGCAAGGTTGTTTCTGATGTATGCCAGAAAAATGCACAATAAGGTGAGAATTTTTTTGAAGCATTTAGCTAAAAGCCTGCCTCACCCAGGGGCACACCATCCATGAAAAATGGGCATCATCCTCCAGGGGAAATGTCTCACGTGGTTGATACTCCACCAAGGTAAATGCCTGTAGTGGGTGCACCACAGTCATCCCCTCTGCCCCATTACCTCAGGAAGCACTCGGGCATCTGAGAAGCGTATTCGAAGTCCTCATCGTATTTCTGAAAATGCTCTTCAAACTCCTTGATTTCACCCTGACTGGTTGGGCAGATGCCTTTCCCAAACAAAGTGTTCACCACTGCTGGATACATGACATGCCTGCATGGACAAGATGCCCAAGACTTAGGGGTCACAGGGAAGCTGTTGGAGCAGTTTTAGACCAGGATGCAGCACTGGAAGCTGTGGGACTCGAGCATCACACCAGTGTGGAAGGGCTGGCACAAGGCTCACACCTCACCCACACCCTTATTTCAGATTTTAAGCAGAGACAGGAGATACACAGACCTCAGGCTAGTCCTCTACAYGTGGCTGAACTTCACCAGTTAGGGTTTGGTCACTTGAACAGGGGCAGAAAGGCTCTGGCCACCAAGGTCCCCTTCTCCCCATTAACCATTTCATTTCAGGCCAACCCATATAAACCTTCTGGGCATTGCACAAACCCTTCTGCAAMTAGACACCCTGAAACATTCTTCCTCTGGCTGCAGCTTTCCTGGATAATGCTTTTTTTTTTTTGTTTGTTTCTTTTCATCTCACTCCTTCCCTGCTTGCTCYTCTGTTATCCTGCAAATGCTGAGCTCCTTTTTCAGACCCTTCTCCCATGCTCCTTAGCTTCAAGAAACTCTTGTGTAGTTTTTGCTGTATCCCAGATGCTGCTACATGAGTATATCAGGAAATWGCACTCACTTTTCTGATTTTCTAAAGATCATAAGGAAGAGGGGGCCATCTGGTGGCTCTCTGGATTTTGTTTGGAGGCATCTAAATAATTATTCAGAATGTTTCATTCCAATACTTTTACTCTGCTTTGTTTAGCAAAGCAGAACAGAYCACCCTCCACCAAAGCCCCTCTCCCCCACATTTTCCTCCAGTTAATCCAAATTGCAGTAACTGCAGGGAGAGGTGCTGAGTGATTTAACTGCAGTAACAGCTGTGTCTTACTGTATTATGCAGAAAAAGGCAGCAAAAGACAATCTGGATGTGAGGTGTTAGAAACAGATCCAAAGTAAAGGCAGGATTTGCCCCCATCCTTGAGAATGTTCAAGGCCAGGTTGGGTGGGGCTATGAGCAGCCTGGTCTAGGGGAAGGTGTCCCTGCCCAAGGCAGGGAGTTTGAATGAGATAATCTTTAAGGGTCCTTCCAATCCAAACCATCCTGTGATTCTGTGAATATTCAACTTGTASTACTGATGGACACACAAGATATGGGTGTTGTCCCAGATAATCAGGAAAAAGGAGGAGTTTAAAAGCTTTGTTGCTGTCACAGGAAATGAAGGGTTTTTTTAACACAAAGGATGAAGTTCTGGCAGCCAAGTCAGTTGCAGAGGTGTTTGTTAAGTTTCAAGCTAGGCTTGGCTCAAACATGGAAACTTCCAAAGATCTGCCAAAGATCAATAATTTTGTCTAAGTTCTTTATAAACAAGTGAAGCTTTTATCCCCTCTTTTGGGAAACAGGGTTTGTTAGAAGATGCTATGCTTTCTTTTTTYTTCCAAACAGGCAATTCAGATGCTTTTAACTGGGAGAAACACCTTTCCATGAAACCCTGTCCACTCTGTGAGCCACCTGAAACTATGAAGCTGTGATGAACATCCTGATAAAATGTTAGTAAGACTTGAGTCCTGAGTTCCAGTGCTTTGCAGTAACATTTCTCTCCCGTGTAGGATAYCCCTGAGTCAGAGATGTGCTGCAAAACTCTCTTACCTTACCAGRTCATTGAGGTCACCTGTGCCCTCCGTGCCCAAGTGAGCCATGTGCTCGTGGAGCTCCTTACACAAAGTGCCYGAGAACATGTGCAGATTAGAGGGACTCATTTTCCCCTTCATCATGCTGTAGAGGTTACCATGGTTCTGATAAAATGCTTCTGCAGAGACAGAAACTAAACAAAAAGAAATGGAAACATTTTGGAAAGTAGATTTTCACCAAAAGATAAAGTGAACATTTTTACACATAACTTTTGACTCYAAATTTAAATGCTTTAACCTTCATTTTCAGTAATTTCCAGGAAATTGCCTGGAAGTTTCCTTGTAACCATGTAAAGATTTTGGTTATGCCTCTGCTTCTAACAGTCTGTGTAACATCCTCCTGCCTCATGAAGCTTCAGTGCCAGAATCAACAATCCAGAGATTTCCCCCCAGTGGGATGTACAGAGATGTGCAGGCAAACCACAAAACTGACTGAAGTGAAAAATAATTTATCACAAGAAAAAAGCAGTTGGTGTCTCCATGCTTTAGTAGTACATCCTTATAATACCTCATCCTTTTCTAATGACTGCTGTACTACAGGCAATGACTAATTATTGTTACAAGCTGATTTTCAAATGAAGTGATAGGACTACTGTTGCTCTAAATGAGGTACACACAGCTGGAGTGTCCAGCCACAGAAAAGGACCTGATCTCAAACTGGGGTTGCTTGACAGTAAAAGTAATAACAGTCCCTGGATCAGAAACTTCTGATTCCTTGAGACTGAATCCAAATCCCTTGGGTCATCAYAGAGAAATTGAATTTCACCATTTCATAGCATGGTCATGGTTAAAATAAGCCTTTAAGGCATGATCAAAAAGCCAGTGGGCTTTTGGTTGGGATTTAATGTTTCTAGGTAACTAGATTTGCTTTCCTTTAAAAAAGAGCCAGGCCTCAATTACCTGCATTCTTGACAGCTTGTTGTACTGCCTGCTCAAAATTTAAGTCTTCGGATTTAAAAAATGCTTCAATTCCTTCTTCCTCAGTCACAAAAGTGAAGCGTTTTCCCAGAGCGAATATTGTGAACACAGGTCCATGCTGGAACAAACAAAGATTCCYTATTAGTGCACTGTTAACACATTTTGTAGGAGTCACAGCACGACTTCAGTGCTGCTGAAAGGTCAGGAGAGAGGACCAGGTCATTCCTCCTTGGCTCAGAACTGCACAAAGATGAACATGAGTCAGACCAAAATTTGCAGGCTTACAGACCAGAAGGGAATGTGATATGTGCCTGCCTGACTTCTTGCAGAGCAGAAGAGATTCCTTCTCTTAGATTAATACTTTATATTTGAATTACATTGCCGTTCAAACAATACAACCCACCTGGATTTAAAGAACCCATGGGATGGGTTATTTGCTGCATCTCTCAGCTGCCACAGCAAAGTACCAATTTAGTAAAAATCTATAATCCTACCGATTTCAGTCTACATTGTTTTAGCAAAAACTCCACCCTCCTGCATATTTTTAACGTTTCAGATTCTTTCCTTTCCTTTCCTTTCCTTTCCTTTCCTTTCCTTTCCTTTCCTTTCCTTTCCTTTCCTTTCCTTTCCTTTCCTTTCCTTTCCTTTCCTTTCNTTTCCTTTCCTTTCCTTTCCTTTCCTTTCCTTTCCTTTCCTTTCCTTTCCTTTCCTTTCCTTTCCTTTCCTTTCCTTTCCTTTCCTTTCCTGTCCTTTTCTCCTAATACCAATTATTTCTTTCTTGAACAGATGTTGAAAGATTAATATCCAAATAGCTAACAAGCTTTGAGCAGAACAGATTGACTGACATTCAGGTAAGGTTTTTGATGCCATAATCATTCTTTCATCTTCCCGTAATCTAATATCCCAGAGCCCTCGAGGAACTTTCAGCAACAGGCTGCATTCTGAATTCCTACATTATTAAAACAATCTCTGATATTTGTAAATACTCTAAACTAGAAAATAAATGTGCAATATCACATTAAAAATCATTATAACACATAAAAAATCATTCTGCCTAGCTCACATTGYTTATGCCATTGACTTTAACAATTTCTTTTGCTGTCTGTGTCTGTAGTGTAAATCCTGCTTCATCAAAAGCTCTTTGAAGCCAAGGAAAATATTCCCCTGGCATCAGCTGAATTTTGATTGTGTCCTTCCACTGCAAATTATTAAAGAAAGAGTGACTGTTCAAACTCTCTGGGTGATAATAAATAAAATATTGTTTTAATAACAGGTGTTCAAGGCCAGGTTGGATGAGGCTTTGAGCATCCAGTCTGATGGAATTTGTCCCTGTCCRTGGCAGGAGATGGAACAAGATGAGCTTTAAGGTCCCTTCCAACACTGACCAAGCTGTGATTCTATGAATCAGTAACAGCTAAATTTCTAAGGCTGCTTTTTGATGTCCAGGTCCTCATCATTAGTCAGGATAAAAATCAATGAATTTGTACTGTGCTTKTTTTWAAATYAGATTTTTAAAATTATAAATTAACATTAAAATGTACTTACACTAATTTTAAAATAAAATTAAATTTTAACTAATAGCAACCTGCAATAATACTTAATTATCCAATTAAGGTCACACTCAAATAAGGATTGGAACATTTTATTTTAGGTGATTACATGTGAGCAAGATGTCTGAGCTCCCATAACARACAATAGAAATAAAGTCTGTGCAGTCAGGGGATCCTAAAAACCAATTCACCAGACCAGGTCCTCCACTGCTGCTTTTGGATGGAGCTGAACTGCCCTGGGACTCCACTGACAGCACTGACCATCCTGCAAAAACCCACACGAACAATCTGGGTTTGAATCTCATCCAGTCTCCTGCAATCTGTTTAGAATCATTACAATTAGTCCAATACTAAACGAAACTGAAATTAAAAAGCTCCATAGACAACCTCCTCCAGAACAAGTCAACTTCATTGAGCCAAACAATGGTGGTGGATATTCAAAGACAAATATTTCAGAAAGCAGAATTTTGTGTACAAATTAATAACATTTGATAAATGCAATGCAAAATTACACTAGTAAAAAGGAAAATCAAACTAATAAAGGCAATCTGCTTCCCCAATAATAAATAGTTTCCCAAACATGCCAGATGCAGAAAGTCCCAGTGTGTTGCTGAGCTTGGTAAGTACTCAAGGTGTAATGAAGTACTCAAGTGTGAAAGGAATCTGAGTTAAGGATAACATCGGTGTAAGCCAAGTGCCACCAAAGACTCTTCACTGAGAGTGATGGACTGAAACCTTGTGTTGAAGGAGATATTAAGCAGAATAGACTTAAATAAGTTCTAGGTGAAATAGTGATAAATATTTCAATTCAAAACTCGGAATTAAACTAAGAAGCCACAGAACTACCKACTGTGATCTGTTAAATCACCCTCAGCAACAGGAGGATGGACAAGCAAATGTGGTGCCAGAAGGACCTGGGAAACCTCAAAGAGTCATTATACAACTCAAAAAATTATAGCAAGCATTATTAAAAACTGGGATTAGTCRCAGATAAATAGGATACACAGAAAAAGAGCACAGTACAGCTTTTAGGGAGACATMAGATTGTGTGGCATTAGAAGTATTCCCAATTCATTCCTTGGAAGAAGAAGTTTACTCATGATGTGGAGTTATTTGAGASCCTAAACAATGAGAAGACCGAGAAATATCACAGAAGAAAGATTAATATTATGACACTCTGAAATTACTCCAAGATCTATTATRGAAGTGCTAATAAATGGCTTTAAACTGAAAGCAAGTAGGTTTGAATGAGATATTAGGAAGAAATTCTCTACTGTGAGGGTGGTGAGGTGCTGCACAGCACCAGAGAAGTTGTGGAWGTCCCATCCCTGGAATTGTTCAAGACCAGGATGGATGGGGCTCTGAGCAACCTGGTCTAGTGGAAAGTRTCCCTGTCATGGCAGAAGGGTTGGAATGAGATGATTTTTAAAGTTCCTTCCAACCTGAACCATACGATGATAATTAATTTTGAGCTCTTATCTTGCTAGGAAAGGAGAAGGAAAATGACACCAAACATCAAAACCCATTCTGTGCCTACATCTTCAATTTGATTTGTATTTCTGCCCATTTTATCTCAGCAGGATTTTCTGACTAGTCAAAGCCAAAGAGATGCACAACATGCATGAATATTTCAATAAAAGGAGATTAAGTGGATTTAGATCYCAGGAAGAGATGAAATGATAATCATTATTCTCAGTTTCTCATAATGTAAAAAGCTAATGGGCTTGAGATTAGGAGTTAGATGGTTTAAAACCGGACAGAATACTTTATTTATACAGGTCATGATTAAATTATGGATTCACTGCTATGCATTGCYGTGCAGCCAAAATCATACACAGGGTAACAAAAGAGATTAGATCAAACGACCTAGATGCAAATCCCAGCCTAGCAAGTCCCTAAACCTGGAAGCTGGGAAGAAAAAGCAGGAGGCTGCATACTCTCACCTGGGTGTGCCCCTTATACCCTGAGTATCTCCTAAKAGCTGCTCCCAGACAGACACCTGAATAACCAGATTGTTCATCTGTCAAAATRTGTAATTATGCTGATGTTACACTGCAATAAAATCAGTTCCTGCATTGAGCTGTGGGGCAGTTCCACACTTGTGTTATGGGCAKGTACCAATGCAGTGCAGGCTCTGCTGCCAGCACTGCATCCAGGYTACTGCTCTGAAACAGCTTTTAAGGAGACCTCACAGAATACAGAGATATAGAAGGCAAAATAAAAACCTCYTAGGATTTATTGCTTTCACTCATGAAAGCTGATTTTTTTTTTCAAAGATTGGAAAATACTTCAGTGCCACAGTGAGAGGCAGATTTGAGCCCACAGGAACATAACACTCTGGAGAAATAAAAATTTCAAAAGGATGTTCTCCAAAATCCCAMAGGTAATCAGGGAAACAGCCATTTTCTCCCAGGGCAGTGACAGTCAGGGAGCAACCACTGTCAACTGAGACAGCTTCAGCTGCACGAAGAGTCCTGGGACATGGCACCTTATCCCAAATGCAATCTACACTGTGAGACTGATGTATGGATCCCACAGGTCCCTACAACAGTGCAGAACAATCTCGTGGGTTTAACTGAACTTTTCCTGTTTGCCTAATTAGCAAACTGATGAGAAGAATTTGAAACTCCTTATGAACTCTTACCATGTTTGCCAGGCAAAGTGGGGATCATATCCTTTGAACCCCTCATTAAACAGCTCTCCCTGTATTTAATGTTGCATGGTGGCTCTGGTTATTCCCCTGCCCACCCCAGACTGCCTGCAAAACTTCTTTAACCATCTTTAGGAGGAAGAGGTGGTATCTTTTATTAGACCAGAGATTAAATATTTTATTAGTGCAAGGGAACTTTCTTTTCTTAGTCCCAGTGATGACACAAGGGGGAAAGGAGACAATTCTTCCAGCCCACGTGTTCTTCCGTAGGAGGAAAATAGAAGCAGAAAACTTCAAGCAAAGGGCAGGTTGGAAGCAGTGGAACTTTACTGTGTTACTCCAGGACTTGATAGAAAAAGCAGTGAAGAACAGACACTGGAATTAAGAAAAGAATTAAGAAAGAAAGGAATTAAGAAAGAGATGAGTGACACTTTGACAGTCTGAAGGATTAATCCAGGGGAGGAATTTTCTCATTCCAAGAGTCTCCCCTGAAGGTAATGACCCTACAGAGATGGAGAGCTTTCACGCTGCCTAAAGCCTGTTTCTGCAACACCTTTTACGAGGGCAGCTTGCTCATACTAAGGACACTTAACCCTGTTCTAAGTAATATTAAAGAGCCTGGAATTATTACTGATGTATTTTGCAAGCCCTGTAGTGTCTGTTAATGACCCCTTTGGCAGCAGCACTTGTTTTGTTTGGCTGTACTCTGCAACAGTTCCTACTCCTTTAAAAGGGAGCAGGAAAAGACTTGTTTTTCCTGGCCTCAGCAGAGCAAGCCAGCGTGGGAGGTGGGAAGGGAGGGAGACTTTCAGTGCCTGAGAGAGGTTTAAGGAGAGGAAAGGGAGAACAAACAAGTGGTGCTCCTCGGGGACAGGACAACTGTCAGATGATGGGGATGCAGGCATCCAGCCAACCTGGGAGAGATGGATTGAGACATCCCACTTGGCCCAGGGGGACCACTGGGAGTGGTCACAAGTCACAAGAAAGTTGAGTTGCTGGACAAAAAGTGAAAGCAAAAGTCCTACCAGCAAACATGCAGTGAAGGGGAGAGATRTAAGAAAGCCTTTTCTTCCTTCTTGGCTTTGAGTTTTTGCGCACTGAAAGTGTTTCTTGTTCTAGCTCCTGTCCCACCAAAACGGGGGGTTTGTAAAGTCCTTCAGGTGTTTCTGCTGTGTGCAGATGTGTCAGCAGCTGCCACAGCACCAGCCTGGAGCCTAAAGGGTCTCCAGGCAAATGAACCAAAATTCATTAACCCAGAGCCACTGAGTGTGCATTTGTACCTCAATTACAAGTATGTAATTGCTTTGCTCATTCCGTCTGTGAATGAACCCCAAGAAAGGACTCTTCTGTCAGGTTTGTTTTAAAATTTCATCCAATAAATTTTGTTAAAAGTTTCTTGGGGATAAAAGGCAACTAAAGTCATGGTGAAACAGCTGCCCCCAAAAGGGACTGCACTGGAAAGGACAGTTTGTCAGGCTGCTTCAATCTGGCTGCCATCAGGGTGTGTTTGCAACACAACAAGGAGGCTCCTAAGGGGCTAATATCAGAAGARTCAAAGAAATATTATGATTGGATTTTTTAAGTGAAGCTTGGCCAGTTTATTTAAATGATTACAGATTGTACAGTGTGGTTTCTGAAATAGTAGAAGAATGGGTAAAAATTTGTTTTCTTCCAGCCCTACATTTCTGCCCTAAGATCAGTRAAGAAATAACTGATGATGGTATGCACAGATGAAACATAGGAAAGACACAGTAATATAAAATTAAAGTTGGCCTGTCAAGCATGAAGAAGCCAAGAAACTCCAGATCATACCTATGAGCTTATCCCATGATGCACCCAATGTGCMTCAAGATTGACAACTCTTGTTCTCAAAGATCAGATTCAATCCTTCGTTTTAACATCATGAGTTTATAACAATAATGGCTATAAAGAAATACTCATAATYATGATGTCTAGCAGTTCAAAATGAGAAAGCAAATTTTAAACATCCAGTATCTGTTGATGTGGGKTTTTTTCAAATTTCAGGATGTTACAATGGTTTCATTTTTAACTAGTTTTTGCAAGTAGTGGGCTGTATGATCCTTCAGTATGGAAGACTCAAGGCTGAATACACTGCAGTGGCAGGTGATAYAATCCCTGAATGAAAGTGGGAAGCTGGGATTTATGTCAGTTATTAGCTGTCTAGAATTTAGGCATCTTACCTAGATTAATAATTTGATCTCTTTCTGTCTGACAGACACAGCAGAAGAAATTGAAATCCAGGGGGTAAATCTTGACCCCCACATGGCAAAGTTTTTTGGGGATCAAAACTTTGTCTGCCAAGCATATCTGTGTTTCTCTTGAATGCTGAGGGACACCAACTAGTACTCAAAAATCTCACCTAACCTTAGGCACGCAAGTAAGTAGTTTTCTGGTCTCAGCACTTGGCACAGAGCTTTCCACATTATCTGAAACCAAGATTAACACACAGCCAGACCGCAAAAGCAAAAAACAGCAGAGGTCCAAACAGGATGATCACAGCATAGAGATCATGCCTGGAGCAGACCCACAACTCGGCAATGCTGGTGGCACAAAGCTGATTCTTCACCATTTAAATGCTCCTGACATTATAAAACGTGACATGAAAGGGGAAAACTGAATGCAGAAGTTTCTTGTCACCTTTCCCCTAGCAGGCAGCCACCCTGAGCACGCACCCACGAACAGGCACGCCAGCACACGCCATTACCTTTTTTCTGGCTTGCTCTATAAACTCCAGAGGAGCTTTCCCGAACTGAAACGCWGCTCCAAACCAAGGGATCCAGCTCCTGATGCAAGGAGGGGAGCTCGGGTTTCTCAGCTGAAACAAAAGAGCCTTGACAATAAGGAGTCCCAGGAGCGCTGCCAAGAGCAGAGCGAGATCCATTTTGCCTCTTCGCCGCCTGTCCCAGCCCCAGCAGCTGCTGCTCCTGCTGCAGCCCCGGCATGGCCGTGCTGGCCGRGCTCCGAGTTCATCACCAGGGCCTCTCTGATCCGCCCTGCCAGCTCAGCACTGCCATGGGGACAGGATGTCAAAAGCACTGAGCAGCGCAGAGCGCAAGCACTCRCTCTGGAAAAGGCAGAATCAATTCTGTTGTGTTCTGGGAAGAGGACCAACTCGGCTGCTTGCAAAACCTTGGTGTTGCTGTGGTAAATCCTTGGACTTTGCACTGGTTGCTGGAAGGCCACACGGGCAGCCAGGGACACGGCCAGGGACATGGACAGCCAGGGACACTGGCAAAGCAGTGCAGAGCTTTCTTCAGTTTAAAAAAATAAGAGCTTTTTGCAATATTAATATTACAAAGCAGAGAGCCTGTGATTTGCAGACATTTAGCTTTCAGCAGGCATCACCTAAAGCAGAAACTTCAAGAAAGTTATCTCTCACCTGTCTGAGATCATCTTGCTAAAGGCTAGATGTGTGTCCAATGTCTGAGGAGCAGAGAAACACTTCTGAGGTTGAACTGACAATTCAAAACCTGCTGGTCACCTCTATTCTATCACTGCAATGACAGAAGACAAGGTTTCAGACAGGTCAGATTAGTTTCTTTGCCTCTGTGAAAGCAGCAAGCCAAAATTACTTAGAGAATACATTAAATATAAAAAACCCTAGAAAGTGCTGTCAGAGCYTACCCCCTCACACCCTCAGCAGGTTTGAGGAGAGCACAAAACCTGGAGGAGGGGCTGACAGACCAAACGAGTGTGTTGCCACTCAGGGGGACCTCAACAGGCTGGAAAATGGGCAGTCTTAATAAAACAGAATAATAGCTTGGAAACGGATGTCAAGGATCACCTGGTCCAGCTTTCCTTGTCAAAAAAAAAAAAAAAAAAGTGACTTCATGAAGTTCAGCAAAGGGAAACTCCAAGTTCTGCCCCTGGGTAGAAAAAACCCCATGTAATAACATAGTCTGAGGGGGCACCTGGATGCACAGGAGCTTTGCAGATCTGGGGTCCTGGTGGACACCGTGTTGAACATGAGGCAGAGATGTGCCTTTGCACTCGAGAGCACCCTGGGCTGCATCAGGAAAAGTGCTGCCAGCAGATTGAGGGAGGTGAYCCTCTGCCAAGGGTGAAGTGYCCAAAAGGAAGAGAGGCTGAGGCAGCTAGCACAGCTCAGTCTGGAGAAGAGAAGGCTCAGGGGGATCTTCTCAGTGTGTATGAGCACCTGAAGGGAGGGAGGATGCAAAGAGGATGGAGCCASGCTGGTTTTGGGGTGCCCAGTAAAAGGGCAAGAGGCAGTGGGCATAAACAAATACAGATACCAATACAGTTTAACTCCCTTCCTGTACAGGAAAAGGTGCACAAACAAGAACTTTTGTACCTGTGCAGACAGGCAGTACAGTAAAWGTAGCACARCAGAAATATACCTGATAATAGGATGTTAAGAACTGTGAAAACCAGGTGTATGTCCTTCTTAAACAGTCATTCTGAAATACCTTGGGATGTTACATGTTGGTCGTAGAAGAACAAGCAGAAGAACAAGCCCACATACATCAACTGCAACAAACAGGGTGTTGATCTCCGTTTTGCAAACTATCTGGAACAAACAGATAAATCACTGTYATTTGTAATATTACTACACTTCTGTGTTTAGCTATCACAGCTCTTTATATGTTTATTTCCTACTTTTTTTTATTAATATGGTTTTATTTTATCCATTAAATTATTTATTTTCTTATAAAGGGGCAAGGTGATAAGCGTGCTAAAGGCCTTGTAATATTGGAGTGTATTTTTATTACTCGCGTGGTATATTTTCATTAAGTCACTGAGTAGTGAGTTTTAAATTATCTGATGTATACAGGTAAGACAAGTCCTCAAGCCTCAGTGAAGACATTTATTAAAGTTTTTATGTTTGTTTAGGCCTATTTTTTTGCTTGGTTTTGTTTAGCTTGTTCTTTTAGGGCATGATTTGGTGGAGGATATAAGATGCACGGCACTGTTGTGAGGACACAGAGCCAGTACGAGGGTGCAGCAGTCACTGCCAAGCTTTCCTCAGGCTGGGTCCTCATCTTGAGCAGTGTTTAATGGCCTTTCCAGGTGAACTAACACATCAACACCTGCAGGTGCAGTGAGGGCACTGGGCAGTCTGGCTGCCTTTCTCCAGCAGCACACAGCTCTCCCAGACCCCACTGCTGTGTTTCCACCCCATCTGATGTCCCCTCCCTCCTTGCAAATGCAAAAAACAAAAAAAATTCTGTCTCACYGAGAACTGAAACGAGTGAGAAGGAAGGGCCCTCTCTGCTGCTGCAATCTCCCTCAGGATTTGGGGATATAGGAACTCCAGGTGTTTGATGGACCTCCATGAGTMCTGGCCCTTCTTTTCTCCATACATCCCAGAACTGTCCAGGCAAGCACCACCTCTAGTCAGGCTCTTTTCAAAGATCCTGTAATGCAGAAGAAAAAAATTCCTCTTTGCTGCCATCCCCCAATCATGTGATTTTAAAAAGAACCTATTTCTTCAGGCTAAAAATAACCCTGCAGAGCTGCTCTTCCATAGGATGCTGCATTGCTATGGGGTTTATTTCAAGGAGGGATCTAGTTGCTGTTTTCAACTCCCTAAAGCATAGGCACGGAGAAAACAGAATGAGACTATACACAGAGGTATACAGCTAGAGGATAATTGTGAAGTCCTCATCCTGGGAGGTTTTCAGGGGATCAAACAAGACCTTGGGCAATCTGATGTAACTCTGAAGCTCTCCCTGCTCTGACACAGGGCTGTAASATGACTGCAGGTGAACTCTAGAAGTTCTCTGTACCCCACATTACGAGTGGAGGATACACAGTCTGATAAGCATGGCACAGGCTGACTGAGCCCACAGAACAGCTGTGGAGGGAGGCACAAAGTGCCATGGCAGATTGCATGAACTGTCCAGARACAGCCTCTGAACCACTCATACCTTCTGTGCAGCCAGCCACATTTGCATTAAATTGCTATATGCCTTCTCCCCATTTTTAACCAGGGTTTTGTAAGGAGTTTGTTTTATCACTACACAAATTCTAACGAATTTTAACCTCAAGAAGGATCCAATTGAATACCAATTATTGGTGACCAAAGAGATAGATACATGCAACATCAACTGAATATTTCATCTGCAATGCTCCCTTAATTTGTATGAATTATTGTGATGGGGACCACACATCAAAGTTTTAGGCAGTCAGACACGGATCTAACAAGGTGTTCTAGTATAAGTTTTTGTGACCTAAAAAATCCTCAAATCAGCATGAGGATTACTGACTAATGGCTAATGATTAACTTGAGGATTCAGCTGAGCCTTAGTAACAAATGAAAAGCTTCTCTTGAAYAGCAGATACCTTACCCTTTTGTTTTTTGGGGGGCTTTCTTATGATGAGAACCTAAATATATCTACAATAATTTAAGAGAAATTAGGACTGGGACACAACAGGACTTAAGCACTCAGCCAGGAAAGGCTTTAAACTTTTCCCTTACAGAGCTCTGGGCAGTGACCAGATTCTGCTATCCCAGGCTTGCCAGGATCCATGTTCAAACTGCCCTCTCCTGCCTAATCCGMAGATTGCTGCCGGCACTCCAGCTTGGCACGTAATGTTCCTAATGCAGCTCTTACTCAACCACATCTGGATCAATTCACCCCAYCAGGATGCAGCTGCTTTACACGGGAACAGAGTTTGGGGCTCTCCAGGCACTGCTGCCAGTGACAGCAGCGCACAAAGCAAACAGACCCCACGCGTAATCTTGAGCCCTCATTAATGACTACTCTTTTTAACGCGGACAATGGACAAAACTGCGCGTGTTTCTGTACCTGCACTGCCGGTCTCCGGGCACAGAGAAGCCTTGGCGACAAACTACATTTCCCAGGAGCCTGTTGCGCAGGAGTCTCTCGTGTCRCTGCAGGACCTTGCAGCTCCGCAGAGCCGCTCGGGCTGCTGCAGTTCCCGGTGCTGGCGCTGGAGAAACATGACCTTCAGCAGCTTGTCTCCTAAACCACCCCGAGCTGATCTGCGCTAGGGCCCGCTCTTGCTGCAGACAGACCCGGGCAGGGTGGCTGGGTAGCCTCGGTTCATGTGAGATGCTAGATGTCACCTGCAGAAGAAGAGAGGAGCTTACCTCTTCCAGAGAGATGGCCCCGAGCCAGCAAATTCGCTCTGTCAGCCTGTGCAGCGGCTGTGGCAGAACTAGGTACAACTCACCGTGGTWTTCCGAGAGGGAAGGGGGTCAAATTTACGTATGGGGGGCAGGGGGAACATCAGTCCCCGGATGCCTCATTCCTCAGTGTTCTGCTCCAGCAAATCTGCATTTCATTGTGCTAGTAGTGGCTTTTCTGTAATTCAAGCCTTGCAAGTGTTTTATGGCACTTGACCGTGGCTGGAGGGAGGGTTTTTCAGGATGAAATCTTTGCCTCAGAGACCGAAGGGCTGCAGTCATAAACTCGGTGCAGTTGTGACTAATTTAAGCTTTGCACTCCTGGGTTTCCAGAAAAAGACTAAAGACGAAGGCAGATCTGTTGCCTAAGTTACTAGCAARGCCTGACTCCTTCAGGATTTCCTTTTCATAGTTAATGAAGGTTAATCAAAGAAAAAACTACTCTCATGTTTCTGATTACAGTGGAGGTAGCTTTAAAAATGGAGTTGGAAAACTACTTGGTGAAACATGGAATAGAAGCCCACTGGCATCTTTGTAGCACTGCTTTGTGACCCAGCAACTTATTTTTAATATTTTTCAGCATGTTCTTTGTAATCTCTACAACCTCTTCCATGCAGATCAGCTACATTGCTCTAATGATTTTTGCAACTTCTCAATCTTTGCTAATCTTTAAACATAAATACCAAACTTAATGCACAAATAGACGATTAACCTGCTGAGGCTTTGGGCAGTGACTGCATTTCCCTGGCACCTGAGTCCTGCTCTGGAAGGACCCTGGTGTGTTCCAGAGGTATCGGACCAAAGACAAGCCCTGCTCCTGGGCACAGGCAGGAAGGTCCATCACCAGGCACTCCTGGCCTGGAACTGAAATGAGGGTCAGCACATATGTGTCCATACTGTTTCAGGAGGCTGAGATCCACTTGGATCTGCTTCACTGGCCACCAATTATTTCAGTGAGAGAAATAACAGCTCAGACATGGTTTTAGTGCCTGCATAAGAAAAGCAGCATGCCTTTGGGGTGGTTTGTAGGACAGATATGTAGGTAAATTTGTAGGTGAGCCTGAAAGTGTGTCTGCCTTGTGATGACCTCTCTGGGGTTGTTCCTGACCATAACATGKGCTGCCACTGTGCTGGGCAAAGTTGCAGAGACCACCTGATCGATTGAGAAATTTGACTGGTCTGTATTCAGGGGGAGTAACTGGAACAGGATTTTTAATCCCAAGTGCCTCGGAAGGTACACATATTGCATAACAAATCTGCAAAACTAAATATGGGAGTAAGACTTGTTGTTTTATGGGAATGTCATTTAGTTACTTGTGCCCAGAGCCACTTTCAACAAACCTGGTTGTGAATTCTCCTCTTGTCTGGGAATCTCCTGCACCCTGTTGGGTACGGCCCCTGCTCCCTGCTGGGCCATTGCAGGGCGTTGTGGTGCAGACCTTCCCAGCACGGGAGACCCCCTGCAGCCGCACTCGTATCCATGTGTGTTTCCGGCCCTTTCTCCTCAGTGACATTTCCYCTGGATCTCACGAAAACCCGGCTGCAGATCCAAGGTGAAGCTGCGGCCGGCCCGGCGCTCCCGTACCGCGGGATGCTGCGCACGGCGGCGGGAATCGCGCAGGAGGAGGGCGTGCGGAAGCTCTGGCAAGGAGCCACGCCGGCCGTCTACCGCCACATAGGTGATTATCTGCTCGTGATGGGACAAGYTTGGGTCCTGCCTTTTGTGCTTAAGTCTTTGAAGTGAGCCTGYCATATCTTCTTGTACTTYCAATGTATCTGCGAGGACTTCTTAMGTCTAGCCTGCAATCCCACTTTGAAATATATGAGATTCCAGATCAATATTGTCTCTTCCTTCTCTTTCCCAGTCCTTCATGGCCTTATTCTGGCTTGTGGGAAAACAAAATATACATTCTGTGTCACCTTTGCAGGAAGGTTTTGCTCAGRAAGCCCAAAGAGACACTCAGAGTCCTCAGAACAATAAATGTTCTCATATGTGAGGGAAGTGGGGACAGATTAGGAGTAAAGATGGGGGAAAAAGAGATTGCAAACACAAGGGAAGAACACAAGTCATAGAAGAAATGCATTAGAAGTTTGGCCACAAATAACAGCTTTCTGTTCTTCACTTGGAAGCATGATGACAGCAACAGACCTCAAAAGCACTTTTGAGGTTTTGTGCTTGGCATCAGCACAGAAGGAAGCAATGCAATCCCATCTCCTTAGGGTGCAGGCAAAGCTGTGCTGCCTCCTGGCAGACCTGGGGCTCAGCCAGAGAGATTTKCTGATGCTAAAAGGCTCTGGCTCTRCCACTGACACCAGGCARCSCCTTTGCTTTCCCCGTTCTGATCACAAACATGAGWGCAGTGACCATCAGACCCAGACAAGGTCTGGAGTGTCATAAACCAATGTCTTGATCTTTCTCTCACAGCGTGACCTCCAGAAATGGCAGACACAAGAACTGTCTCCTGCTTTTGTTTTCCACAGTATACACTGGTGTTCGGATGGTTACTTACGAACAGCTCCGTGACTCCGTGCTTGGCAGGGTGCAGGGTGAAAGCTTTCCTCTCTGGTAATGTTGCATATTCATGCAAATTTATTGCTTGCTTGGGGATTGTCCTTACTGTAGGAGTCCTACAGCCAGATCTTAGGTGCAAAATGTATTTGGTTTTTGGGATTCGACTGATGAAATCTAACACAAAATACTTGTCATGCCTAATGCTACAGGAAGGGGAAACTATAGATAATGCTGAAATTTCTGGTTTTACTAAAATAACCAGAACCAGAAAATCAACATTACTAGAAGCAGTGGGAGAGAAAGAAAAGTTTTATGTATCAGCAGGCAGTTACAATATACAGAGCATCATCCCTTCTATATTTGCCATCTTGACTTTAAACCTTAAGTGAGGAGCATAATGAAACCTTGATTTTTTTTCCCATGTAAGTTTTAGCTCTTTCTTAGAATTAAAAGAAATATTACTGACCACTTTAACAACCTGCAGCCACTACATTTATTACCTTCATGTTGGCTGTTAATATATGCAGTAACCATTTACACTTGTTCCACCTGTCTTGTGCTGCCGAACGCTTCAGCTTGAGCACTGCGACTTGTGAAGGTTTTCAGTGTATTCTGGAGCACAATTTTTCTCCATTTGGCAGGAAAGCTGTGGTTGGAGGCATGTCTGCGGGTGCCATTGGACAGTTTTTTGCCAGCCCAACYGATCTGGTGAAGGTGCAGATGCAAATGGAGGGAAAAAGGAAGTTGGAAGGAAAACCGTTACGGTTGGTTCCTCTCAGAGCTGGTGGTTTTTTCCCCRTTACTGATCACTCTTTGGCCCAGGGTGCGGTTCTCTGTCTTTTCTGTTATCCCTTCTCCCCAGCTGCTCTCTGCCCTTTTACAGGGAGAATGCCCAATGGCTCTGGGCAGTGAAGAGGGTGGGGGTTCAAGACTTCCTCCTTATTCCATTGATACTTGCCTTCCTTATTCTGATTTATTGGTCCTTGGCACCACAAACATTCAGCCATCCTCCATGCTTCAGCATTTCCATGCCAGCACTGTGCCATGGGGAGGGAAGGATGCTTTCTGAAGATGGGAAGTTGGAAGAAAGGATGAGGGAAATAGCTCATGCAGGATGCACAAGCACAGGGAAGGCTGGCAGACAGCAGGGCTTGAGACTCTCTTGCAAAGTACCAGGATGTTGCTCTTTGCATCCCAGACTGTTGCCATCATTTGCTGTCTCATACTTTCAGTATTGCAACTGAATCAATGTGGGATCACTGCTTAGCAAGGCGACTGGTATCTCTGGTAAAATATTGTGGCATGAAAGCCAAAGGTAGATCCAAAAATGGATCTGGAGGGCCAGATCCTTGCAGGTGTAAATTCCTAATATKACATGTGCAGCAAAGTGCTGTAATATGCAAAGATTTCACCATTATCTGGACTGTCTACCCACCGGTTGCATTTTGGTTTCAGGTTTCGGGGTGTACACCATGCATTTCTGAAGATMCTGTCTGAAGGAGGAATAAGGGGACTTTGGGCTGGATGGGTACCAAATGTCCAAAGAGCTGCTCTGGTGAACTTGGGAGGTAAATGGAATAAATTGGTCTGCAGCATTTTAGGCTACACAAAGCTTTAGGAAAGAGAAGATCAACTGCTTCCTTGGATTAGCTGCAGTGGGGCCCTGTTTGGAACACTCTGCAGGTGACCTCTGCCTCGTGCACCTGTGTTTTGGTCCTGTGGAAATCAATTTACTTAAAAGTAACAGTTTTTACATGAGCTTAAGGAAAAATGAGTCGGAAGCTGAGGGGGTCCCACAGCCAGCAAAGCAGGGCCTCACCAGCTACAACCCATCACCCAACTGAGGTGAGCAGGGCAGAGCCAGCCGAGGCAACCAGGCTTCACCAAGATCCAGATCCTCAGGGAAGTGTGTGGGGATGAGGCAGGTCTGAGGCCAAGCCAGGAAACTGAGCCAGCAGCAGGGCTGGTGAGAGTCACCCAGACTCAGCTCAGCATCGTCTGTAAGGTAAATCAGAGAAAATGCAAGAGAGAGGAGAATGCAGAAAGGAGAATGTACTTGGTTGTCTGAAGACAGGACTCGGGTGCCACAGCTCTCATCAGAAACTGGGGCAGAGTGCCAGCCGTGCCAAAGGMAGGAGCTGCACTGGAAATGAACTTCCTGTGTCACAAAAACAGCACAGACACCATTTACTCCTGACACTGTTGTTTTTTCTCATTATCCACTTTACAGATCTGACCACTTATGACTCAGTGAAACACTTTTTGCTTCTGAACACACCACTTGTGGACAACAGTGTGACTCACGGTGTTAGCAGGTGCCGTATTCTCCAATTTCCCCTTTTCCACTATGGAACATTGCCACCCTGGCTGTTGTCATTTGTGTCTCTGTGCCAGCAGAAGACCCTGTTCTTTGATTTTGATACTGCTGATAAAATGCAACTTTAGAATTTTTTTTTCCTGAAAGAACATCACTTTATAGAAGATACAAGAGAAAGGAGGCAACCATTACTGCAATAGTAGAGCCTTGCTGGTACATTTAAATGCTTTTGCTCTAATCTGTGGGAGCACAGTGATACAACTACTGCAAAACAACAGCCTTTACTCCCTTAAATGATAAAGAAATCTACTTTATATAAACAATATTATGAATTGCCTATTRTTTGTCCTTCATCCCTAACTCAGAACTGCACATAGAAGTGAGGCCAGCTGGAATGGGGAGGACATGTGAGCAAGAGCAGTACTAGCAAGTCTCCCAAATCAAGTTTATGTTACGAGTTATTGCTCATTATTTTATGATAACTGTTTTATGATAACTTTGTTATAAGAACTGGAATGCTAAAATTGTGATGATACATCTTGGTTTTTTTCTTAAGTATCTGTTCCTGTTGGCAGTGCCTGCTCGGGGCTGGTAGCAGCTGTTCTGGGAACTCCTGCCGACGTGGTCAAAACCCGGATAATGAACCAGCCGAGAGATAAGCAGGGAAGGTATGGACACTTCAGTGACCAACTTTTCAGCAGCAAATTGAAACCCTGAGTCTCACTGATTTCCCTGGGAGCAAAATGCTAAGTTGATTATTTGCTCTTCATCTTTCTGGTGATGACTTTACTGATTGAGTAATGTCTGGGGGGTGTTGTGATGGCCACCTAAGCATAACCGGTTACTCCAGTGGATTTCAATTCTGGATTAGACTCCAAGGAGCTTACAAAAGAGCTTCTGCTTGTGGAAAAATATCAGCTACAAATTATTTTTGTGAGGGGGATGGGATTTTAAAAAAATGTAATCCTAACACCATTTGTTCTCTTTGCACATTGCTAGAGGTCTGCTCTATAAGTCTTCCATGGACTGCTTGATTCAAACTGTCCAGGGTGAAGGGTTTATGTCTCTGTACAAAGGCTTTATACCTACCTGGATGCGAATGGTACGTGCTTTTTAACTCTCTTTACAAGAACAATTAGCATTAAAATGTAAGGAGTGTAAATGCAGCGCCAACCCTAAGTAACGTTACGATTTTTGAAAGAATTCTATGAAAGAATCATAGAATCATTGAGTGGTTTGGGTTGGAAGAGACCTTAAAGATCATCTCATTCCAAACCCTCCACCATGGGCAGGGACACTTTCCGCTTGCTCAGAGCCCTGTCCAACCTGGCCTTGAACACTTCTAGGGATGGAGAGCTCACAGCCTCTCTGAGCTGAAAAAGGGTTGGGGACTTCTCTGGGAACTTCATGAGACTGAACTTAGTATGATTTTTAAGAGGAAACAGTTTAATCTAATGGGCTTATTTATTGGGTTACTTCTATTTTAAGCCTCTAACTTCAGTGTTTGCTTTCACAGGCTCCTTGGTCACTGGTATTCTGGCTTACATATGAACAAATCAGAAGGATGTGGGGAGTTAGCTCTTTTTAAAACCTTGGATATTCACAAAAGACAGAAGAATCAAAAAGCTGAATTCTCATTCCACAAAGCAGTAGGATCATTTATATAGGTTGTTGCTCCAAACCAGTCCTTACTGGATAGGAGCAGCCATGACCTAAGGATACTACTTCATTGTCAGAGTGCTACATGAAATTTATATTATTGATGGAATAAAATAGTCACAATAATACTTCAACTAGTAGCCAGCATCGATTTTCTGAACCAGCAAACAAGAATAAAAAAAAGAGTCTACCAAGCATCTAGAACATAATCCTGTCTACTTGTTTGATAATTGAGATGGTTCCTCTCATTAAAGACAAGAGCAGGTTGATCAATGCACTGAACATGTTCTGTGGCTAAACATCTATAAAATTACTTGGGAATTTTTGTTGTTAATTGCATTTGCACACAGATAAAGAACTACCTCTTCTTAGTTTGATGTCTCAACAAACCGAGCCTGTAGTGCTAGGTATTGAAAAAGATAAAAGCAGTTTACCTGATTCCAAATTTGCTTTGCACGAAAAGTGGAAGGGTTTGTATTCCTTTTACTTCCCAGAGACTGCCTGAGCTCTCCACTCAACTATTTGAATGAAATCATGATTGAAATGCAGTCCAGTTCTCAGGAAATCAAAAGCCTTGTTTGCTGTGCCCCACTTRAAAGGCTTGAGATATTCCACCGGACCAAGCTGAACTATCTGTCCCGTGACAATCTTGGTGCTGATGTGGCAGACTGGGTTTTTAAGGCACCACTTTTCCACGGAAATGCACACTCTGTCCACTTCAAATCTCAGTGGAAATACAACATTCTCTTCAATAATGCAATACATTTGAACAGACAGTTTATTTATTGTTAAACCTAAAGCCTTTCAGATTTCATAGGGAAAGAGGATAGGGCTATTTGTCACTAGGTTCATCTTTGGCAATCGAGGCAAAAATGCAGTATTAAAAGCAGACATGAGAATAGAACAAAGCTGGCTTTCATTTGGTAATATCTAGAAATGTAATTAATGTAGAAGACTTGGCTCTCCGAGTAAATACCGAGGATTTCTTCTAGTCTTTGCAACCAGTGTCTTCAATGTGCTTATTACTCATTAAAAACAGTTTGAATGTCTTCTTGGCTTGCCTTGTACTTTTTGATAGTATTGTTCTGTTATGGCTGTATGCATTTGGGGGTGCACTTCCAGCTTGGAAAATACTCATCTCACCATTATTAGGGAGTCACAGCATGGGGAGGGTCAGAAGGGACCACAGTGGCTCATCTGGTCTCACCTCGCTGCTCAAGCAGAATTACCCAAAGCACAGGACACAGGACTGCACCCAGATGGTTCTGGAATATCTCCAGTGAGAGAGACTTCACACCCTCCCTGGACAATCTGTTCACTGCTCAATCACTGCACAGGAAAGTTCTTCCTTAGGTTAATATGGAATCTCCTGTGCATCAGTCCGAAGGTTTTGCTCAAAATCATGATATTTTTCTAGATGACAACCTGAGAAACTAATTCAAGTTCTTTCCGTCTTGCACTCCAACACCAGCAACAATAAACTAGCAAAGCTGCTGCTTCAGTTACATCCTAAACAGTCCTGCTGTCCACCCTGTTACCCCAGTGATGGATTACACCTATCTATTGACATAGAATAGGTATTTTTATCATAGAATCATAGAACAGTTTGGGTTGGAAGGAACCTCAAAGATCATTTAGTTCCAATCCCCTGGCCTAGGCAGGAACACCTTCCACTATCCCAGGTTGCTCCAGGCCCTGCCCAGGCTTGCCTTGAACAGTTCCAGGGATGAGGAATCTGCAGCTTCTCTGGGCAACCTGTTCCAGTGTCTCACCACCCTCACACTGAAGAATTTCTTCCTAATAGCCAATCTAAACCTTCTCTTTTTCAGTTTGAAGCCATTCCCCCTTGTTCTGTAACTCCAGCCCTTGTAAATTGTCTCCACCTTTCTTGTCAGCTCCCTTCAGGTACTGGGAGGCCACATTTAGATCACCCCAAAGGTTCTCTTCTCCAGGCTGAACAATTCCAACTCTCTCAGCCTTTCCATGTAGGACAGCTGCTCCATCTCTCTGATCATCACAACCACTATATTAATTATAAGCAGTGCGTATATAAACCACTTCTAGCCAGCATTTAGCAAAGTTGCCACAAGCTACTTTTATGGGCACACAGCTTGGGGAAATCACCGAAACTCTAAGTTTTGTTAAAATAACCTTGATATGTTTCAATTAACAATGCCTGGAAGAAGAGACATCTATTGTTGAAACTGGATACAAGGAGTGCACAATTTAGGGACCACAAGGACATTTTGCAGAAAATAGAAGACAAAAAAAAAAAGACTAACAAAGACTCACTATGTGTGCTCCAAAGTCTGTACCTGGGAAAAAGATAATAAAAGGACCGTAAAAGAGACTAATTTGCCTGAAAAGTGAGAAATCAATAACCACTAGAGGAAAGAATACTAATTGATGAAAGAGAATTCTATAATTTACAACCAGTGAATATTAGTTTGCTAAAAATACATATATAAATAAATGAAAAGGTTTTGTATCTGCATTCTGTGTAGAGGCTGGACTTTTGTCAGCCACACACACTCACTCATATACCCTTCTGGACAAGCAAAAAGTAATGCCGTATTCATTTACAAGAAGAAGAGTGTTAGATCTTATTTATCCCAATGATTTCAGCAGGTTCGGTAACAACAGCACCACTCAGCTTGGTGTCAGCGGCAAACTTGCCGAGGTTGCACTCCTACCCTTCACCGCTGCWATTAAYGAAGATACTAAGTAATACCGGTCCCAATGCGGACCCTTGAGGGACAGCACAAAATAAAAATATTTTTTAAAGCCTTGTAAATGTCTTGTAGTGAAAAACTTCTTCAACTTTTCGTTAGCGATTACCGGCGGGTGACCAGGGCGAGCTCCGCACCGTGTTGTTAACACGAGCACCGCCGCCCTCACACAGCGCCGCGCCTTCACACGGAGCCCCGCCCTCATTCCGCGCTGGCCAATAGCAGCCGAGCTCCGCACGCAGGTCCCGCCCCCGACACCGCTCTGACCAATGGGAGCTAAGCGGGCTCGGTGCCCTCTCCCCTCACCCCGCCCCCGCCGTGCCGCCACCACCCAGTCGGCGTGGAGCGCTCCACCGTGGGCGAGGGCAGCTCCGGTGAGCTCTGCCTTGAGCCCCGCGGCGCTCCAGCCATAATTCCGTAACCCTACTCTTTGTAGTGCCTTCGYGGAGTTTCAGTGTAGCAGGAGCGGCCCCATGTATCAGTCCGCTTCGCTTCTCCTTTTCCCACTTCCCTTGTTGCTGCTCTTCTCCCCCCCGCCCCGAGACGCTCAGAATGGACTCGACCCCTGCTGTAGCCGCTAACGGCTCCCCGCGGGTCACGTGGGCGGCGCGTGCCCTATATGAGGCCGAGGAGCGGGGTGTTCACTCGCCTCGTGCGGGAGAGGGGGGCGTCGCGGGTCCGCTTCGCCATGAGCTCCGGGCTGGCGCCCCTCGGCCGCGGCGATACCGTCACCCTGCGGGTCCGCGCCGTGGGGCTCTACCCCGAGGTGCCCATCCTGCAGCTGTGGGGGCTGCTGGGCGAACGCAAGGCTGACTATGCAGGCCTCTACCGCGAGATCCAGGCGGCGGCTGGGCCGCGCCTGGCGGCCCGCCCMGAGCCCAGCGGGCCGGGGGTCAGCGGAACCAGGCTGTGCCCGGGAGAGCTAGCACTGGTGGAAGTGTTGGGCGTCTGGTACCGCTGCTGTGTGGTGAGTTGCAGTGCCCAAGGGTACCGTGTGTTCCTGCTGGACGAGGGGTACGTGGTGGCCACATCTGCCTATTACCTGGCCCAGGGCTGCTCAGAGCTGTTCCAGCTGCCCCCGGAGGTGCTGGGCTGTGTCGTGGCCGATGTCATGCCCTCCCACGGGCACGAGGGGACAGCGTGCGGGGATTCACCAGTGTCCAAGTGGACGGTGGAGGCGATGGAGTTCCTCAGCTTCCTGCATGGCAAGGAGGTGTCTGGTGTGGTGCAGGAGGTGATGATGCCGCAGCTCATCGTGCTTGAGCTGCCCCAGCTCGTGGCCCAGATGCGGCAGCTGGGCCTGGCCAAACGTGTCTCTCCCAGCTGGTTCTGCCAGGTACTCAGGCGCTGCCTGCCTTTTGGCCAGTTAAAGAAGCAGTTCTGTCAGCAGCCTCCGTCGTGTTCCCTTGGAACTTTTGCAGTTCCACAGCTTCTCCACGTGTTGCTCTCSTACCAGCCTCTGTCACCTGCCTTGGATTACTACTACCCACAGCTTCAGTTGGGTGTGACAGAGCCTGTCATAGTGACCCATGTCTCTGACCCRCATCACATCTATTGCCAGTTGCAGTGTCTGTCCCAGGAGATCTCTTGCCTTTCTGATACCATGTGCCATGCTTATGACCGGTGGGAGCAGGATTTATTGCCCAAAGTGGGCTCGCCCTGTGCTGCCCGTGGAATGGATGGCCATTGGTACCGTGCCATTCTGCTGGAGCTCATTGCTGGGGAGCAGGACCAGCATGCAGCTCTCGTGATCTTTGTGGACTACGGCAGGAAGGAGACTGTGACCAGAGCTAACCTGCGCCATTTGCCTGCCGAGTGTTTTCGCATGCCTGTGGTCACTTATGTGTGTGCTCTTCAGGGTGTTTCGGATGGGGGTTGTGGCTGGTCCCCRTTGCAGATTGATTTGCTGAAAACATTGGTGCTCGGCAGAGGAGTGAATGCTCACGTTAAAGCCTTTAACTCCTTTGAGCATCTCTATTATGTGACTCTGTATGGGGAAAACGGTGTTGATTTGAACCATCTTTTTGGGTCTCAGGCTTGCTGCCTGGTCAGCAGTCGTGTGAGCCAAACTGAGGCTCATGAGCAGTTGGAAGTAGAGAAATCCATAACTGAGGAATTGGAATTGACGGCAGGAGTGCCTCCTGTTTTAATACATGGAGATTTGTCTGCTGCTGCTGTGGCTGGTGTGCATCTGAAGACCTGCACATTCTACAGTGCACAGGTTTCCTATGTCCAAGACCCATCCGAGTTCTGGCTGCAGCTCCATGAACATTACCAGCTCTTCAGGCAGCTGAGGCAGTGCATGTGGAATTTTTATTCCCATTCCACAAAGCTGGATGATCCTGGGTGGGACCCACAGCCTGGGTCCCTTTGTTGTGCCAGTGGGAACGAGGGTGTCTTTTATCGAGCATTGGTCACCAGGGTCCTGGACACTGGGGTGGAAATACACCTGGTGGACAAAGGCAGTACAGAAACTGTGGATTTGTGTGCAGTGAAGGAGCTTCTCCCTCGGTTTGGGGAGCTGCCTGCTTTAGCTCTGAAGTGTTGTTTGGCAGGTGTTTCCCCTCTGAGAGGCAGTTGGAGTGAAGCCTCTGTGTCTGCATTCAGGGAGATTGTACTGAACAAGCAACTAAAGATTTGTTTTTTGAGTGTGCAGGGTGACAAATACGTGGTTGAACTTTTTGATCAGTCCCAGTTAGGAGAGAGAAGAGTAAGTAAACTCATGGCTCAGGGGGGTTATGCTCAATACCAGAGGTATGAAACACCCAAGACTCCCCAGAAATTAGATAGGTCTGTGACACAGGCCTCTTGCTTAGCATGTGCTGCAGAGGAAAGCCAAAYAAATGTGGAGAAGAGGCGCAGAGAAGAGTGTGATCTAAAGAGCAGTGATAGAGTGCTTGATTCTCAYATGGCTGTGATAGTCAGAGAGAGCCCTATTGCAGCCATTCACAATTCTAAAAGTAGTGAATCTCTTTTTTCTCAAGATTATGAGGGTAAGGAAAATCTGCCCACCTCTTTGAGACAAAACTAYGTGGAAATTAAGCCAGGCTCCTCTTGGGGAGGCCACTTAGAAGTGGGGAGTACAGTTAATGTTATTTTGTCATATGTTGAAAATCCTAGTTGTTTTTGGTGTCAGTTAAGTAGAAATTGCCATGACCTTGAGGTACTAATGGATGAAATTCAGGAGCATTGTAAGAATTCATCCCAGCCACATGTTTGGCCCAATCTTGTGTGTTTAGCCCAGTACTCAGAGGATAAAAAATGGTACAGGGCTTTAATTGTTAGTGAAGGAGTTTGTGCAGAAAAAGTAGAAGT